CACGGTGTGGTCACCACCCCGTTTGGGGGCCCCCGAAATTAAATTCACATTTGAGCTCAATGCGCCCCGGGGAATGCCCCGCGACGTAACACGGCGGGCAACCATGGCTGGGCGATGCGTTACCGCCAACGGACAACGGTCGATTGTCTCAATATTGCCTTGAGACCTCAACGCGTAGTGGATGCCAACCATACTGGAGCATTCAAGGCCAAATGGGTGATACATAGGCCATCCAAGCCAAATGGGCGATACACATGGGCGATACATAGCCATTTTGGCTCAAAGGCTCCATTTGGCTCCAGCGGTGGGTGGTCAGAAACCCGAACTTTCCTTTTCTCCTATTCATTCCAGCGCCACCCCATCCACTCAACGCTGCATCGATGTCTGCTATTGGGGTAAGTGTTGACACCTGTGCGCCAGGCACCCCTGTCCAACAACTATTCAAGCAGCACCGCATCCAAAGTCCGCTGCAGGATATGAACGGGCTAGACGACGCTGAGAACAACATTGTACGACAGCAACGGTTCCAAGCTCTTCTGGCCAAAGCTGGTGCCAGCGACAACGTCGAAAACAGGAACACGGAGCCTTTGTCGATGAGCACCTTCAGAGAGATCCTCAAAGAGCAGCTCGACCCAATCCGCCAGGACATAAACCGAAATTATCGCGTTTAAAACGAGATAGAAACACATGGAGTCTCACACGCAGATCTCGATGCTAAGGATGCTCCAATTTCCAACGCCATCGACGACATCACGATGCGACTGGAAACGCTGGAGTCCAGGGATACTTTGCGAGCGCATACTCCAGGTCCCTCTGCCAGGACGGGGTCAGAAGCGAACATTGGCACAAACGCACACGGGAAACTACAAGCCTTAGAACGTGAACACCAGCAACTCCGATGCCAAGGAGATTCCAGACATCCTCACGACCCGATTGATAGGCGCTCTATTACTGCAGTGTTTGTGAATCTTGATGGGCTTACTATGACTTACACCATAACATGTACATGAAAGAGGACGCCACCAAACATATTGTTCGCGGAGTTTTTGGATACGACTGATCGTGCCACAGCAGCGGTACTTATCAGGAGCGCCCGTCTTCAACAGAATGGTAAGGACATTTGGGCTTCACCCGACCAGCCGCCATCAGAGCGCGCAGCACGCAACTACTGTTTCGTGCTGAAAGAATTGTTCAAGGATGCGTTCAAACTCCCCCACATCATCAAAATTACGAACTCCTCCCCATACGAGGTCAGCGTTGGCGAAGAGGCCGCCCTTACAGTGACAGTGGTCGGCAACGCTGGGAAGGAGTGGGCCGATTCATGGGCCGATTGGAAGGAACTCCAAGAGCACGAAGGCCTCAAGGAATTGGAAGACCAATACAATGCTTTACTTCAGCGGTCTTTGGGCGGCATGAAGGGTCAGCCGAAAGGGAAGTCAAACGGGCATTAGGAAACGCGGCATTTGTCAGGTCTAGTCCGGCCTGGCATGAGAGCCCGTGCAAATGGGCCACTTATGTTTCAGCATGCAGTTCCCAACGTGGGGCGTCTCCCGGGCAAGATACCGTTCCGCCTCAACTGCGGAATCGCACTCGGCTTCTACAGCGCGCACGGGCGCTCCATTGTCTCACTCTTCCACGCGGTTGCACAAGTGGTTTCAACCTCGACGTGGATGTCAGCCACTTCGCACGCAAATGTTTGGCACTTGGAATGACGATGGTCTCCGTGGGGATTCTTATGCAAAGTTGTCTGAAATAACTGTTTCAATGCTTGCCCACAACATCGACGTTTTGGCCATACAGGAGGCTCAACTACATGGTTTCGAATAATTTGATTACGACGGTTTCATGGTTTGTTGATCTGGGAAACCTGACGACGAACAACGGTCTGTGGCTGGGGTCGGCTTCATCGTTTCTCCGTGGACCCGTTCTTCTTTAGTCGCGTTCCGGGTGGTATCACCACGTTTGGCGTCATTGCGAATCCGAGTGCATCATGACATACTGACGATTCTATCGACCTACGCCCCACAGAGCAAATACGAGTACGATGTTCGTCCATCGTTCTTCGCAGAATTACTGAGAACAGTACGACCAACGACACAGCACAACACTACGTTTGTATTGGGCGATTTCAACGCTAAACTGCTCCAACAACAACCTGGCGAAACGCAATACATTGATCCACATCTCTTTCTTGCTGATACTCTTCCCCATGGACGACGACATCTCTCCAAAGAAATGCGCTCAGATCGACCATGTGCTTAGTCATGCCTCTATCTTGGGTGGAACTCTGCAGAACGCACCGACCGTTGCTTTGAACAACCACCACTACTTGTTGACGGCAGAGCTTAACTTACAATTCCAGTCTTCTGCGGCACATGCACGACCTCATGTCGACAATGCTTCGGTGCGGGACCCAGCCTTCGTTCACGAGGCGTTTTTACAACGCGTGGTCAGATATTAGTGTTGCAGATTGCTCTCTTGACGAAGCTGCGGGGAACGTCGAGCGCGCGTTTAGTGCTGCCACATATATTGTACCACGGAGGGCGCAACTAACCCGGCAAGCATGGATATCGCAGACTGCTTTGGAACTCATCGAGCCAAACAACAACTACAGGAGGATTGGCGACGCTTATAGTGAGATGTCTCTCAACGCCTCCTTACCAATGATGGACGCGTTGGCAACGAGCTATCGTGGCGCATCGGAGAAGCCAGAAGAGTGTTTCAGCAACTTGCGAATTTGTGGGCTCATTCTGCAGTTGGTCGGCGGCACAAGATACTGATATACAACAGCTGCTTGCTCAGCAAATTGCTATATTCATTGGATTCGCTGTGGCTTCTCAAGCATGACAGAGACAGGCAGAATCACAACCGTTGTCATCAATCCTTCGCGAACGGCAAGCGAAACTCTACCGACAGCGAGGCATTACTGTTCCACTACATGTGATTTCAGCGTATGTTTTCCCTACGCCTACGCGTCCGCAAGGGATGCAAGGCCGCAGACAGACAGCACCCTTTGAAGACACCCTGTTGCGGACCCTCTCGTCCTCTCGCCGATTGAATGCTTCGAACAATTCCCGTGCGCGCGGCAAAACCCTCCGGCCGACAACAAACATCGACGGCCAAATAGGCCAGGCACGAACATACGATGCGGCACTTCAACTATCAGACTATCCGGATATACAGGAACCCTGCACACAACCGGCTGATGTCCGCGTGGTACAGGAGTGCGTCTTACAGGTCCCACGGCGGCGCGACGATACTGAGAACTCGAGCGCGAGAGGCCCCCCTGGAGCCAGAAAGATTGAACCCCCTCTGTGCTTTTTATTTCGCGTTGGGGGCATACTCGGGCTGTCGTGGGCTCACCGGTGCGCTCATGGTGGTCCTGTCTGGTAGCATGCTGCGCCAAAAGGAGCACGCAAGACCACTGCGGCCACGCCCTGCCCTACTGCCAGGTGCGCAAATTGCCAGTGCTGACATCGGCCCACGCCCTAAGCTCGGCGGCGAGCCTGGGGGTGAAGTGAGAAGAGGCGGGCCGTCTTAGAAGGCTCGGAAGTGATCTGAACCTTCCGCGATGTCTCCGAATCCTTCCCTGAAGGTACAGAAAGCTTCTCAGAAGGCTGAAAAGCCCCGCCGCCTTCTGAGAAGGCCTCCTCCTTCTCACTTCCCCCCTTCCGCTCGCCGCCTACTGCCAGTTGCGCAAACTGCTGGTGCTAACTGCGGTCCACGCCGTACACGGTCAGGCGAACGCTGCCAGTGCGACCGAGTGCGACTGAGAGGACGTCTGGCCCGTGCGCGGAGAGCGGTCGCCCGAGAGGCTGAGGCGGCGGAGGCATGCCTCTGGGGGCGTGCTCGCGTATCCGTGGTCGTCCTCTCGGCGGCGACCGAGTGGGGGAAAAAGAAGGGAGGAGGCCTTCTCAGAAGGCCGCGGGGACTCTGAAAAGCTCTCCGTGTGCTCGGGGAAGGCTTCGGAGGACTTCCGAGCCTTCTGAGCAGGCCCGCCCCCCTTTCACATCCCCCCCCCGGCGCGCCACCGATCCTCCCCCAGCAAACCTCCAACGGCGAAACCGGCTTGCCCAAGATGCTTGATGTAGAAATTCAGATACTGGATGCCACTTTCCGTGCGTCCCTTGACGACCTTCAGCCGGATCTTACCAACAGCAACCCATTTGGTACCGTCGTGGGGAACACTCTCTGGTACGTAATGGTACCCTCCTGCTTGTTGTGTAGATGTCCAGGATCCTGTTATGTTGAGGGCTGTGAAGTAGGTATCAGCGCAGTTGTCGTTCAATCTGCTCGCCTGAGCTCTCACAAAAAGCAATGCGTGTTCAGGTTGTTGGCCGCGAGGGATGTTTACTAAAGTATGCCAGCCTGAAATCATCAAGTCGAAACGCTGGCCATAAATATTCTGCAAGTGAGGATCGCCGACGGCAAAGCCGGCGCCGGCGGCCCCAGCCCCTGTGTTTGTGGTCGGAGGGTCCGCGTGGCCGTAGACTTTGATACGCTTCGCTCCCAAAAAACCACCAGTGCTGCTACAATCAGCTGTGTTCGCCTGGCTGTAAGTAAAACGGACAGACTTTACACCAGCAGTGGGCGTTAGCGAAATAGCCTCCTCCAGCGGGTTGCTCTGGACGACGTTGGAAAAGGTAATGGACTGCGTCGACAGTACCACTCCGCTGATAGACTTCAGCGCCACGTCCATTTTGTCGCCCTGGTTGGAGGGGGAATACCGTTGGCGAATAGTGACAATGTCCACAGTATACACGGCTGGCAACGTCAACTCGATCCATATCCCTACGCAACCGCCTAACTTGTCCGATGCTCCTTCGTTGTCCGCTGCCCATGCATATGAACCATCATCGGGTGCTTCTACGTCGTTACTGTCAACAAAGACATTGCTGCAAACCATGGGATCGAGGCCGGGAGGATGATACTCGCTGATCGCCGTGCAAGTCATGCCTGTGATTTCTGTCGACTTCAACGTCGATGCCGCAATACGCGACTTATTGCTTACAACAATTGGCTGGGCAACATATGATGCGCACGAACTCGAAATTAAGGTAAATGCGCCCGTCAACAATATCTGTTTCATCTGCAGAGCAACAAATGCCAAGATATGCTATGGATAAAAAGAGTCGGGCGAGTGTGATGGGCTCAGGCAACTGTCCCTTGCCTGGAGCCGTAAGGCAGCGGAGGGTGATCTTCTGGGCTTCTGGCGGCGCCGTGAAACATAGCGAGGCCGTCTTGGAGCCTTTCTGGGCCTCCCTTGGGCTGTACAGGACGGACTTCGGACACCCAAGCATCCCCTCTTGGCACGGAAGCTCAGTCGCTGGTTGGGCAATCTACGCATTCACCGTTTCGGGGAAAAACTTGCACGGAAGGGCTCTCCTAACAATGAGCGAGACTGAACGATCGCATTGGCGCCCATAAGCTGGCCCCCTCAGATAGAGGACGAAGTTGGCACCCTCAGATAGAGGAGAAGGAGGAGGAGGCGGAGGAGGACGACAACGAGAGGATTAGCGGAGATCTGGGTACAACGAAGAGACGGGAGGAGGAGAAGAGGGAGGACGCCAACTGTGCAGCTGAACTGCACCAGTCCTGGCCAGGCCGATCCAGGGCCTAGGATCGGTGCATACGCCCTCCCGAATCGGCGAGAAAGGCGCAAACATGGACAACGGACCCAGGTTTTGGCCCAGCTCGGTGCGGTCGCGCGAAATTTCTCAGGTCGGCGCTGGATCCCCCTCCATGGTGGGCAGAGCGCGCCAGGGGCGGCACCAGAGGCGCCGCCAGAGGGCTCCAGCGCCGATGCAAGAAATCCGTGAAGACCTCCGTAAGTACATCTGTATGTGATGTTTCTCTTTTCGGTCGGTGCGGGTGTACAACCGGCGCCTTCCGAAAAACGCGGGGCGGCGGAGCGGGGAGGGAGAGACGACAGTAGAGGTTTCCTGGGCGGGGTCCGCGTAGACGGGGTCGGAGGATCACGTCGAAGCCGAGAAAAGTGGGCTTCACATCGGGCCGCATCGCAGATGCATCAACGATGCGGAGCGATCCTCCGACCCCATCAACTCTGACCCCACTTGGGGGGCCTGGAGACAGGGCACGGGAGGCCGCGCTCGCGCCTGGTGACAAATCGCCTTTGCGGCAGCTCGCCCGTGGGTGGAACGCCGATTGCAGGCTGGCGGCGCACAGGAAGCTGCTGGTCACGATGCCTGCCAGGGGGTCTCTGGGAGGCGGCGGCCCCGCTGGGAGGGGGGTGGGGAGCGTGGACAGAGAAAGAGAGTCGGCGGTGCGCAGGAGGGGGCCCGGCGAGGGGGACGGCCTTCCAGAGAGGCATGTAATGAAGACTTCGTCTGATGTGGAGGGAACCTCCGAGAAACCCCGCGCTCCCCTGCGTCCTCGTCGTCCGTCCTCCTCCCCTTCCTACTCCTGCTCCTCCTCCGCCTCGTCACCCTCCTCCTCCATATGCTCCCCCCCTCCGCCTCCTCCCGTATCCTCCCCGATCCTCCTGCGTCATCGTCATAATCCCCATCCTCCTCCTCCTACTGTCCTTCTTTTCCTCTTCCTCCTCATCCTCCTCCTCCTCCTCCTCATCATCATCATCGTCATCGCCGGCATCAGCATCATCGTCGTCATCAGCATCATCATCACCATTATCGTTAGCAACATCAGCATCATCATCCGAATCATCATCCGCATCATCACCCCCACTATCACCATAATCATCATCAGACTCACCATCTTCACCCCCCCACCACATCATCATCATCATCATCATCATCATCATCATCGTCATCATCATCATCATCATCGTCATCATCAACATCGTCACCATCAACATCACCATCATCAGCAGCAACACCCTCATCACCCGCATTAGCAGCATCGCCACCACCCCCACCATTATCACAATCAGCATCATCAGCATTATACTCGTCATCATCAGCATCATCGTCATTATATCCATCATCAACAACATCATCGACATCATCAACATCATTCATACGTTGCAGCATCATCCGTATCATGCTTCCATTACCTTCATGATCATCATGATCCGCATCGCCACCCCCCACATCACCAGGATCAACATCATCAGCATCATCATCATCATCAGCAGCATCGTCATCAACATAACTATTATTTGCTTCCTCTCTCTCTCTCTGGTTGCGAGGCGACGCCCAGTCATCGGGCATCGTGTGAAGTCCCAACGAACGGGCTCCCAATCGCTACCGTTACTGCACACGGCAAGTGTCTGGGCTCCCACGATGCGAAGAGGCTCGCGCGGCCCAGCGTCAGACAAATGCGGAATCCGAACGCGACTGGCCAAGGCCATTCCAAAAAGACGCTCACGTTCATCCTATTCCAGGTGGCCTCAGCTTGAACACGTTGGGCAGCACCATCACGTTAGGGAAATGAACAACCTAGTACTTCAGTGCGACCACAACCACGACGACCTGCAATAAGAGCCAGGCCAGCCAGTGACTCCATGCGCGCCGCAGCCCACGGAGGGGCATCTGGAGGAGCACCACCAGAATCGTCAGGTAGTTCCACGCGACCATCAGGTAGATCCGTGCGACCTGCATGAAAACCCAAACCACTATGAGAAAGACCCCAGTCGCCATCAGGAAGATGCCAACCGCCAGCAATGAGATCAGGAAGGTCCGCGCAGCAATCAAGTAGAGGAAGGGATAGGCTCCAGACAACCATGGTGATAACCAGGGCCTCCACGAAGAACGTGCGACGGTACAAAAGCATCCGCGTACAAGTTGAAAGGGGAAGGAGGGAGGAACCATTGGAAGGTCACCATCAGGATCATCATGTCGACGAGGAACTTTGGGCAGTCGTCCAGCAGAAGGCCAGGGATCTCCAGCACCGGCGTGCCACAGATCAGCGCCACGTGGGTGAGGCAGAGCAGGTGCACCGCAAAGGAATCGACGACGGCCGCCAGGTCGACCTTCACCACCGTCTCCAGTGCCATCCCCGCCATCACCTGCATCGTCATTATTGCCCTCATCGGAAAGCCCATGCCGGAGGGGTGCAGGCCGCGCAGAGAGCCAAAGAGAGACTTCGTACCGTCCGTCCTAATGGCGGTGACCACGATCCACCCACAGATGAGCGTTGACCAATTGAAAAAGATGATCGACCAGACCCAGGTTTGCGAGCTGCACGCGGGGCGAGACCTGTAGGCCCAAGTCGATGGTCATCTTCACCTTGAAGCGCCCCTGCATGGCCGCGCCGCCCGCAGAGATGTGAAAGCCAGCGCCCTGCAGGACCTGCCTCCGAATCCAGGCCAGGCGCAAGGCGACGACCATGGCACGAGCGGGGAGGGGGAGGAGAGGGCGCAGGCGCGCCCCGAGAGCCACGAGGACGGGCGGGCGCCCGCGCCAGAATGGCATCATCATAACCATCATCATCATCATCACCATCATCATCATCATCACCATCATCATCATCATCATCATCATCATCATCATCATCATCACCATCAGCATCATCATCATCAGCATCATCATCATCGTCATCATCATCACCACCGATATCAGCATCATCAGCATCATCATCATCATCATCATCATCGTCACCATCATCTTCATACTAATCCTCATATTCATGGTCCGCAGCATCACCACCACCATCATCGTCATCATCATCATCATCAGCATCATCATCACCATCATCAGCATAATCATCATAATCACCATCATTATCAGCATCATCATCATTAGCATCACCATCATCATCAGCAGCATCAGCATCAGCATCAGCATCATAATCAGCATCAGCATCATCATCATAATCGTCATCGTCATCGTCATCATCATCACCATCGTCATCATCATCATCATCAGCATCATCATCAGGTATACTCCTTCTGCATCATCCTGCGTCCTCCACCTGTGTCGTCCTCATCCTCATCCTTCTCCATCCTCCTATCCCCTCCAAAACCCTCAAGAATCACATGATTGTGATGCGTCCCAAGGGAACGCGCGTCCGAATTGTCCACCCACGCAGAGCACTTCAGACACCGACGCCAGTCCTCGTCCGACGGATCGAAAAGCCATCCACTCGCGCGCAGCAATAAGTGCCTATCCTCATCAATCCTCCTCCTCGTCCTCCCCTCCCGCCTCCTCCTCATCAGCATCATCACTATCATCATCATCAGCATCATTATCATCATCATCAGCATCAGCGTCGTCATCGTCATCAGCATCATCAGCATAATCACTATCACCATCAACATCACTATCACCATCAGCATCATCATCATAATACTCATCATCATCATCGTCATCAGCATCATCATCAGCATCAGCATCAGCGCCATCATCAGCATCATAAGCAGCAGCATCATCAGCATTCTCATCATCAGCATCATCAGCACCACCATCATATCATCATCATCATCATCATCATCATCATCATCATCATCATCATCACCATCATAATCATCAACAGTATCATGCGCATCATCATCACCACCATCATCATCACCATCATAATCATCGACATTCTCATGAGCATCATCATCACCACAATCATCATCACCATCATCATCATCATCAGCATCAACATCAGCATCATCAACATCATCATCATCATCATCATAATCATCATCATAATCATAATCATAATCATCATCATCATCATCATCATCATCATCATCATCATCATCATCATCATCATCATCACCAATCTTACTGCTTCACGTCCCATGCCGCTGGGCCTCGCGCCGCTTCGGCCTCGTGAGCTCGCCGTGGGTCCGATGCCAAAGGTGACCAATGGACACAACGCTACCCTGGAGGCGACCCGCGACTTGCTCCTCAAGCGGCCGAGGGGCTTCTGCGCCCGGCGCCCCCGATGCGCCGCCTCCGCCTGCGCCCCACGCAGCCAAGGCCACGGTCCGCCTTCGGTGGCTCGAGCGCGCCGGCGCTGGCGGCACTCGCGGCGGGCCCGTGCAGGGTACTGGCGACGCGACGGCAGTCGAGACGGTAGATGTGGCAGCGGCGGCGGACGCGGCAGTGGCGGTGGCTGCGCCTGCTCCGTCCGTGCTGGCGGTCGGCGACGGGGTCGCAGAGGGCGCGGGCGCGGTCGCCCCGCCTTCGCCTCTGGAGGACGACGCCTGGGTTGACGAGCTCCCCGTGTTGCCTGGTGGGCGGATGGCGGCGGTTGCGGCTGACGCGGGCGGGCTGGTGCTCTCGGCACGGTTGAGGGCGAACTCGCTGCCGCGACGGCCGCGCATGACATGCACCGCATCACCGTGATCATCAAAGCGGCCGCGGGTTCGGCGCGGGAAGGTGGCAAT